TGAGAATCATGGTTGGGTCATCTACCTCTACCCAAGTGGTAGTAAATAATCTTCAAACGGTCTGAATGAGCACATGGTACGAGGCCTATATGAGATAGAGATAACCAAGAATGAAATACCCAAACGCCTAAAATATTGGTGTAAGGGATTCTTCAAAGATATGGGAGGACATAATGCCCAAGAGGTAGACACGATTGAATTGAGCTTAGTTCCTAACTTGATACTACCTCCCAAATTCAAGATGCTTGAGTTTGAAAAGTATGAGGATAAGACATGTCATGATGCAAACTTGACAATGTTTATCAGGAGAATGACAGGTTTTGTTAGAGACAATAAACTTTTAATACATTATTTTTAAGCAAGTCTGACTAGGTCTACTGCAAGATGGAATGATCAATTAACTCGACACAATAAGATCCTACATTCAATGAGGAATATCATATGTCACTGACATGATGTTTGGTAGGGTAACTCTCTAGAATATGGAGATAAAGCACAATGAAAGCTTCTGTCAGTACGCTAAGCGTTAGAGGGTTATTGTTTCTCAGGTTTATCATCCGTTGGTTGAAAGAGAATTCATAACAATTTTCATAGACACTTTGAAGTATCCTTACATTGATCATATGCTAGGGGTCACTACAAAAGTTTCTCTAACATAGTTATGTAAGTGAAATGATTGAGCGGGCACTAAAGAATAACCAAATGTTGGTGGACAAAACTCGACAAAGAAACCCTTCATGAAAAGAAAGAAGGAGAAGTGAACAATGTAAAAATTTTGTGAAACAAACTAAAAACTAGAGGTTCTAGTTCACATGTTTAGCAAGTGTGAAAGCAATAATGAGAGGATATCATTTAAGCAAATTCCAATAGCATATAGCAAGCTTTCTAGGGTTTGGTCAAAATACATGTGGTAGCTCCATAGTGTGAACAAGTAGGAACCACCATACCCAAAATGGTACAAAAGAATGAAACCTTGCGAGTACCACACTAATATCTCAGGGCACACAATTGAAAATTATATTTTTTAAAAGGGTAGTGGAGGTTTGATTAAGAGAAATATAGTGTCTTCAATGACTTAGAAGCATCATGTGTTACTGCAAATCCACTTCGAAATCAAAAATTAAGGTGTCAAGTAATTGATGAAGGTCGAAGGATCAAACTAAGGTGGAAGAGGTCAAGACACCGTTGAGTTGGGTGTATAAACAAATGCTGACTAGGACTAGTAAGTCCAAAGAAGGAGTCCACTGATTAGAAATCCAAGATTTACTATGAGATCATTGCGAGGAAGGTCATCAACTCCAGAACTGCTAAAAGTTCAATCAGGTGGTCCAAAAATAGATAAGAAGAAATACAATTCTTTGAAGAGAGTAGACAACAATGAAGATGGTGTTTATACATCTAAAGAAAGTCGGAATCGATTTAAGGAATGATGAGAAAACTAGTATTAGTTATATCTAAACCATGTTGAGATAAACAAAGGAAAGGTGATGCCTAAGATAGTAATACAAGCAACGGTACCCTTTGTTTTACGCAAGCAATAAAAAGGTCTCGTGGAATTATACATGCCAAATTAACACTCCTGAATATAAGAAAGATGAAGTTGATGAGGTTGGGGGATTTACTATTATTTTTAGATGTTATGCCCTTGGTTTAGCTAAAAAATGAGAGTCGTAGTGATATAAACAAACACGAGAATAGGGTGAATGAGCCTATTCACATTGAGGAGGCTCATAATTCCTAAAACTTCTGAAAAATAATGAAGATAACATTATGGATCAGCTTTGAAAGACCTTTGCATGAATTTCAATGTTATTTCTTCTTTTGCATTCTGAGGGTACATCAAAAAACACGTTGCTGAAAGTGCTAAATGAGACATTTGTTCCAAACAATTTACCAGTAGAATACGTTGATAGGTTGGTGAATCATATTAACACAGACAACTCATCTATTTTTATGACGAGGAGATACCTGAATAAGGAAAGGTAGATGCAAGGCATTGCATATAATTGTTCACTGTAAAGGGGTATTCTTTCTAGAGTACTGATAGATAATGGATCAGCTTTGAATGTTATGCCATGAGCACGTTGAATAGACTCCCTGTGGAGACTTCACATAAAGGTCAGTGGCAACACTGTTCATGCATTAATGGCACCAAAGGTATATTATGAGTAAAATCACAATTCCCCTCCAAGTTGGCCTAACCATTTGAAGTAGAGTTTGTGGTAATGAACATCCATCCGAACTACAATTGTTATTAGGAAGGCCATTGATACATATGGCTGGGACAGTTCATTGTTCATTACACCAGAAGATTTAATTCATTTCCGAATAAACTTTGATAACCATCAAAGTTTAAGAAGAGATCATAGTGTTTATCACCACTGATGCACCATATGTGGAGGTGAATGAGAATGCACTTGAATCATTTCAGTATTTAGAGTTTGTCAATGTATTTTTTTTTATTTGAGGTAAAGAAAATGCCATTTTCTAAACTTTTAAAGATCACGGTGATGAAATTGAAATAAACCATAGCTCGAGGAGCTCGGGTTGGAAAATGATTAGGCAAGAGGTAACATTTGCTTGTAAATGTATGCTAAGACAAGCAATTAGTGCAAGTGTACACAATCGATGCAAGTAATATTGTAGTAAGTTGAGTATCGTCTCTACAGGATTGATGGTAAATTTTGATGTTTTGCTACATCTAGAACTAGGTGTCACAAGCTAGTCCTATAGTTCTTTTCAAAGAGGAAGGAAAACGGGAAAATGGTATAAATAGATGGAAAAGTATTGTCGAGGCAATGAATATTGTAAAGTATGGTGTGCAGAAAAGTTTAGTCGAGACAAGAAAATTATGCAAAAGTAAACAAATAAAAGTTGCTAAAGCAATAAGTTCAATACATTCAGATAAACCTCACACAATCAGACTTCTTACGGAGCACTTAGGTTGTTTTTCTATGGCGAGAAGTTATTTCACGCTAAGAATGATTTAGTGCGCTATGCTTAGGCTTCCCGATAGGATTACTAGAGTATTCAAGGACTGTTGAACGACAATACTACTTGGTGTGAGCTACAACCCTTGGTTTGTCAAACTGTTATTGTGGTAATACCCCTTAACGTAAACTATAGTCTTTGTCTATCTTACTCAAGTATTTATCACTTTTAGTCGAATAAAACCCTTTCCTATCTCTAAGGCAGATTAGAACCTCATAATCTCAATTAGTTCTATTGTTCACGTAGATTACTAACTCTCTCGATATTAGGCATCTATTCCTAGAAAATTACAATCTCTCGAAAGATCTTACAAAGTCTAGGAATGTTTTGCCAAGGCACCAGACAATCTCTCAAAAGCTCTTACAGTGTCAAGGCAAAATATTTGAACAGTGAACAAAATAACACTTAGCATAAACAAATTGCATCATCATTAACAAGCAAAAAACATTCAATAAAACAATAACCAACACAATTAAGATTTCATGGTGCGGTGAATATCATCCACAATCATTCTTCTAACTACAACCCTTAACAGGATATGAAGATAAAAAAAAGGAAGAAACACTCCCAAAATAAGAGCTCTGCAATGACATTCTGACCACCGCCACGCATATTCCAACCCAGCCTCTCTCGAGGGTCTGGTCACTACTCGATGAAGCCCGGGTATGGAGGGTACCAGGATGGTAGAGTGGGAACGGTGGAAAGTAGGGTGTTATAGCCGCTTACTCTAATCCTAGGGTATATTTTCTCCTTGATTACGCCGCCTTTTGAAAAGATATGGGGTATTTATAATGGGAATTTCTAGGGTTTAGTGCCCTTAAAATTCCCTAAATACCCTCGTTGACATACCGTTTTATAAATGACATAGCAGCCGACAATGGTCAATTTCCTTGATGAGGGCATGATTTCCCGTGAGGATGAAACTGGGGCAAGTGACGTTAGCAGTTCTGTTGAGCCACGTCAGACTTTCAAGATAAATATGTTCCTTACTGTCTTCTTGTGTTCCTCTAGCCCTGGAGAATTGCTCTATCTCGTAAAAAAATTCCTCATTCATCATTTCGTGCATCAACACAACCGGTCAACAACCTTCCTCTACAGCATCAATTCAACCAAGTAAAGTTTTCCTCGGTAAAACTTATCCACCACATGCAAATGTATACTACATGCAACTAAAATGCTATGATAAATGGCTTTTAGGAAAACAATAACCTAAGTAAAAAGACCCATAATATGGTCTTTTACGAAGTTATCACACCCCAAACTTAAGTTATTGTTTGTCCTCAAGCAATGGATAACAAACGGTAAAAACATTAAGTGTCACGGCAAAAAAAATAAGACAATCATGTGGTTTAAAATTTCAGCCCTCAGCAAAAATTTTAGCCTCAACATCTAGAATGTAGAAGAAGCTAAGCACTTTTCCCTAGGTCAAGACTTTGTCAGTGTGTGTGCGTGATTGTATCTATTCTATGCTTTAACCTATTTAGAAAACTCTTAAGTAAGTTTTTTTTGTTTTGCCAAGGGATCAAATTCACTAAGAATAGTTTCACTCCTATTTATTCATACTTTGTGTTGTCATTTTTTTTTCTTTTTTTAGCATACTACCCAAGGTAGTCAGCTTATCACGCCTACCCATCCTATACTCTAGGTGAATGGAAGCTATCTTCCACCCCCAATCTAGTCAGGTAGAGTCATCCTGTGACTACTTTCATTCACTTATATGCTAAGGCAACTATTTATTTAAGAAGGTTTCCAGGTTATGCCAACATAGAGTAGTGTCCCTCTACAGTTATGTCGAGACATTTATTTTCAATTCAACACAATTCAAAACATTTAGGAGTTCAACACAATCTTTTCAATCATTTAATGCCACGACGCACAAAAAGTTTTCCCAAAAAGATTTAAGCACCTTAAGCAGAGAAAACATTCAATCATGTTACAAGATCACAAAACATCAAGTCCTAGGGTAGGCTCTATCCTTCAACATTCATGTGAAATAATTTTGGCCTAGGAATAAAATTTTCTTTTATCATCGGGCATCCTCAACTTATTCCAATAACTATCCTAATGAAACTCATGCCATGACAAAAAATATTTCAACCAATTATTATCAAATGCAATTAACCTAAGTATGGAGTAATTCACCTCCCCCAAACTTGAGGGATGCATTGTCTTTCAATACATGAATATAAATGCAAGGAAAATTTCTCTAACGTGTGGATAAAAATACAAATGGAAGAATGGTACCTTATTGTGGTGGAGAGGCTTGGCTGAACGGGTTCTGCGTCATTTCAGAGGAGGGGCTTTCAGATCCAGTGTCGTCTGAAAGAATCTCAGTTGAAGATGACATAGTGATACGTCTAGCTATGCGCTTAAGGTGATGCCTTGTCCTTGCGATACTCGCTGGTGATGGCATCTTCTCATTGTGCAAGGGTTCAACAGAGACGTCGTGTGGTTGCTTACTTCAGGATCAATAGGTTTAGTATTCAGATCCAGTTGTTCAGATGCTTCTTTAGGAGGCTGGTCAGGGACTAGGATAGAAAAATCTGTGGTTGGGGACAAATCATCATCATAAAAGAATTTCGGTGGGATTTCTCAGTGTCCTAGGAAGATGAGGATGAGTTGAGATATTTTGTTTCACCGTGGCCTTCTTCATGGATAGGGAGACATGTGTGGTAAGAGGAGTAGCATCCACGAGGACTCGGGTAGAACATGTGTGTGAGGTAAAAATGTATTGTCGCCTGTAGGGACCGATTGGTGCAAGATTTCATCGGGAAAAAGTGAAGGTCTTCATTGGTAACTGGAAGCAGTTCCTTGAAGAAAACATTCATTTGGGCATCTCGCGCCTTGGCATACTTGAAGAAGGTCTCCATGTGTCCCTCTAAATGTTCCAGTCGTTCCCTTGTCTCTCGAGTGGATGTAACCATGGCTAACATTCTTGTCGTGGCAACTGATTTTGCTCCTCGCTCCAAGCCCTCGTGTGGAGCTATGTCATCAAAACTCATAAGTTCGGGCACCTTCTTTTTGGTGATACCTTCCTTTGACTTGATAAAGTCTTCGAAAGGCTCCTCAGGGATATTTTCTTCCTGTACAAAGTGGTGATTAAGTTGGGAAAAAGTAGATTACCTCAGGTCCTCTTTGCACACTCATGGATCTGCTTAAAAATTATCTCTCGCACAACAATCACGCGCCCGTAGATGATTTAGTGGATTAGCATTAAGCGTATCACCAATATTGTCGTGTTGTGCGAGGTAGGCATCAGCTTGCCTTTCTAAAAGTGGTTCCATAGTTTGGTTACTGGCTTAAGGGCTCGGCGATCCACACGCTTTCGGTTGGGCACATTCCCTTCAAACTTTGCCCAGCCGAAACAAAAATCCTCCAGCACACCATCGTATGTCTCTGAATCTTCCTCGGCAAGAACTTTTTTATGTTGATCCTCTACCTTGCCAAGTTTAAAGTATCGGTTTAAGGCCGAAGGAATGAACCAGATGGATTTCCCTCTAATGTACACAGTGTGTTGAGATGGGACGCCTAGGTGGGCATAAAACTCTCAGACCATGGCTGGCGCCACCGCCTTTGGGTATTGGGAATTTCTCCCACTTGTGCTTCTGGACGATGTCCATTACTTCCAGCCCAAACGGTTCTTTGCTTCAGGGAAGAAAAAGTTATCCTCCAAGTAAACTTGTCGTTTCTGCAAGGCCTTGAACTTCCTCGGCCATATGGTTTGGAATCACTCGAAGCGTGTAGCCACGGAGGATGTATAGGCACCAATATTCTTCTTCGATTTGGGCACATTCCCTTCAACTTTGCCCAGCCAAAACAAAAATCCTCCAGCACACCATCGTATGTCTCTGAATCTTCCTCGGTAAGAACTTTTTTATGTTGATCCTCTACCTTGCCAAGTTTAAAGTATCGGTTTAAGGCCGAAGGAATGAACCAGATGGATTTCCTCTAATGTACACAGTGTTGAGATGGGACGCCTAGGTGGGCATAAACTCTCAGACCATGGCTGGCGCCACCGCCTTTGGGTATTGGGCGAATTTCTCCCACTTGTGCTTCTGGACGATGTCCATTACTTCCAGCCCAAACGGTTCTTTGCCAGCTTCAGGGAAGAAAAAGTTATCCTCCAAGTAAACTTGTCGTTTCTGCAAGGCCTTGAACTTTTCCTCGGCCTCAGTGGTTTGGAATCACTCGAAGCATGTAGCCACGACGGAGGATGTATAGGCACCAATATTCTTCTTCGATCGATCCATGAACAACATATTTTAATAAAAAAGACAAGTGATTTTTATGGTAACTATGAAGGGTTTTAAGGGATAGAAAACTCAAGAAAAAAGAAAAGATGGAGAAGAAAGTAAAAAATAACGATGAAAGGAAAAGATAAGTATGTGGTTTTGGAGGAAAAAAGATGGGTAGTGGGCGATTTCTTGAGGGTAAAATGGTAAAATGCCCAGGGAAATGAGATATGGTATTAAATGGGAAGATATTTGAGTTGACAAAAATTAATAAAATAATGGGAAAGATAGTTATTTCCTTATCAAAAGTTCCGTAAAAACCAATATTTTGGGGTTTAATTTTTTTTCCATGTGTGAGTGTGAACTTTATGCTTCCACGTGAACCCTAACTGCTAAAAGAGGCAAAACAAGAGATTAAAATAGAAATAAACAATTGATGCAAATAAATTAAAATAAATATTTATGTACAGAGCACAATTATTGTTGCCTAGGCAACAACCACAGGCAAATGGCATGCCTTCCATATAATAACTTGAATGGTGACATTTCAAGGGGAGTTTGAATGTTGTGCGGTGGGCCCACAGTGCCTCACGAGCTTCGGTGACTAATCTTTGCACTCAGGTTGACCACATTCTCAAAAATCTATTTGATCTCACGATTGGAGGCCTCATCTTGCCCATCAGTCAATAGTAATATGCCGTGGCAATTCTATGGCGTACCATGTATCTCTTCAATGCCTTGGCAATTATTTATTGTCGAAGTGAGTAACTTCATCACTCATAATTGCTCATGGAGCTCCAATGAATATGTTTTGTACAAGAATTTCAACATGATCTTGGAGTCATTGCTAGTGTGGCCAAAACTTCAACCCATTTGGAAACATAGTCTACTGCCAAGAGTATGTACAGATCACCAAAGGATGATGGGAGGGTTCCACAAAGTCGATCCCCACACATCGAAGAGTTCAACTTCCAAAATGTTTTTCCATGGCATCTTTTTTCTCTTCAATATATTCCCAATGTGCTGGCAATGATCACATGACTTGTAGAAGTTGTGTGCATCTTTGAATAAGGTGGGCCAGTAGAAGCCGGATTGAAGGACCTTTCAACAGTCCTCATCCCACCAAAGTGCCATCCACACTGGGATGTAAAATGGCATGCCTTTCCATATAATAACTTGAATGGTAACATTTCAAGGGGAGTTTTGAATGTTGTGCGGTGGGCCCACAGTGCCTCATCGAGCTTCGGTGACTAATCTTTGCACCTCGGGTTAACCACATTCTCAAAAATCTATTTGATCTCATGATTGGAGGCCTCATCTTGCCCATCAGTCAATTGATAATATGCCGTGGCAATTCTATGGCGTACCATGTATCTCATCAACGCCTTGGCAATTAATTTATTGTCGAAGTGAGTAACTTCATCACTCATAATTGCTCGTGGAGCTCCAATGAATATGTTTTTGTACAAGAATTTCAACATGATCTTGGAGTCATTGCTAGGTGTTGCCACAACTTCAACCCATTTGGAAACATAGTCTACTGCCAAGAGTATGTACAGATCACCAAAGGATGATGGGAAGGGTTCCACAAAGTCGATCCCCCACACATCGAAGAGTTCAACTTCCAAAATGTTTTTCCATGGCATCTCTTTTCTCTTCAATATATTCCCAATGTGCTGGCAATGATCACATGACTTGTAGAAGTTGTGTGCATCTTTGAATAAGGTGGGCCAGTAGAAGCCGGATTGAAGGACCTTTACAACAGTCCTCATCCCACCAAAGTGCCATCCACACTGGGATGTATGGCAATGAAATATGATCTTCTTGTGTTCTTCTTCGGGGACACACCGTCGATAATTTGGTCTCCACACTGCTTGAATAGCAATAGTTCATCCCAGGAATAGTGACGTACACCATGTCTAAATTTTATGCTCTGCCTAGATAAATCTGAAGGCATAATACCACTAACAAGAAAACTAACTATGTCAGCATACCACGCACTACCGACAAATAAATTTTATGGTCAGGGAAATCCTCTTAAATATCCTTCATGTCATGACAAATATTTTTTTCTCTAGCCTAGACAAGTGATCCGCTACTTGGTTTTCAGTACCCTTCATATCCTTCTAAATTGAATTCTTATAGCAATAATATCCATTTAATAAGCCTAGGATTTGTATCTTTTTTATTAACTAAGTACTTAATAGCAGAGTGATCAGTATGTACTATGACCTTAGTCCCTATAAGATATGGCCCAAACTTATCAAAAGTGAACACCACGACAAGCAATTCTTTTTCAGTAGTGGTATAATTGAGTTGAGCATCATTAAGGGTACGACTAGCATAATAGATGACATGAAGATTTTACCTTTTGTTTGCCCTAGCACTACCCCTACCATATAGTCACTGCATCACACATCAACTTATAAGGGGCATACCAGTCAGGTGGAACTACAATTGGTGTCGAGGTAAGCCTTTTCTTTTGATCATTGAATGTACTAAGGCAATCTTCATTGAACACGAACGGTTGATTTTGTTGAAGCAAAAGGCGCAAAGGCTTTGAAATATTTGGAAAATCTTTATTGAACTGTCTGTAGAATATTGAATGCCATAGGAAACTTTTTATGCCTTTCATAGTGGTAGGTGGGGAGCATTTCTTAATCACGTCCACCTTGGCTTTCAACCTCGATGCCTTGGCGAGAAATTTTGTGTCCCGACATAATTCCTTCTGTCACCATAAACTAATATTTCTCCATTTAACACAAGGTTGGACTCCCTACATCGCTTT